GGGTTTTGATTTTGAATGAAAAATCCGCCTGACTTTATCCGTCAATTTCGAAGGACAGTTTGAAGACGGGATTATCCGTTCCAGATAGCCTGTGTACAGCCGCCCCCTCCCCTCAAGAAAAAATCGGAGAAGGGGTGTCTGTCGGGAAGGGGACGACTGTACACAGGCTAGTCTCAGACGGATAATCCATTTCTACCTCTGGTGTGAAACCGGCCAAAACCAAAATTCCGGTGACCAGTGTTTTTAATGATAGCGAAGGACTTGACGGAACGACTGTCTGCCGTTACCCGCTTGTCCGTAGGCCCCATTGTTCCGCGCGCCTAATTCTTTTCGGGTCACGTGGTCCGAGCGAGTTTGCCCGATATTGCGTGGGAAGAAGCCGTACAGGGACTAGGCATGGCAATGTCAACCGTAGCGTCAGAGAAGACGGGAAATGTTGTTTATCGGCAACGTGTTTTACAAACAGTGACATCTCTAGCTGCGTGTTGTTTCACTAGTGTTTCGAGGGCACGACCTCCTGAAAATCGCAAATATTAATCCCCAGCAATCCATTAATCCATTTTCGCTATGGAAAAAAAAAATTAGTTCCCCGAGAGAGCGGCGGAAATGGAACCTAGGTCTTGGTCAACAACTAAAAGGCGCTTTGCCTAACGTGCGTACAGAGTCACACTAGCCGGGAAATAAAAAACGCAACCATAAGTGAGTTTAGTACCTTCCTTAAAAGTAGCAAATCTAGGGAACAATCAGCATTTTACGGTTAATTCTTTTTTAACCTATTTACGGCTAACGGTTAAAATTTTTCAATTTTTACGGCTATCGACTAAATTTTTGGTTGTTTTACGCCTATCGGTTAACCCCATTGAGACCCTCTAACGATTGGAATCCGGAATCTAAATTCCACTGATAAAGTCCGGAATCCGGACTCCACGGCCTGAAATCCAAGACTGTCTTGCAATTGCGTTGCATAGGATGAGTTGTCAGTTGCCGTGAAAAACACAAAATATCGGTAAGCTGAGTCGTTTTTCCAATTTTATTGCGATAAATAGTTGTTCAATATATACTTAACAGGGACTATTTGGTTATTTTCCCATCTCTTGCAATTTTATGTACTTCTCTGATCTAAGCCAGGCAATTGTACGTGGAAGGGACCAACTCAAAATATAAAGCTATTTTGGTCCCTGGAAGGTACTCCTTATAAAGGTCTATACGGGAAGGCTCCTCTCGAAAAGAGTACGTTTTTCAACAGGCTTCAGGTATATGAAAGGGTAGAGATATCAGTATTTCTCTGTCAAAAATGGTATATAAAAGGGTAAGGAACCGAGCTTCCCCGTATAAAACTTTCTTGAGTACTCCTCGGGTCTTGCCCACTTATTTTTTTACCATTGTGTAAACTGTTCCTCTTTTTCTTGTAATGTTCTGGGGTGTTTATCATTTGACAGAAAAATCCGGTTGGGGTGTCGAAAGCATAATGGTAAGCGATTTACCAGTTTACCGTAGAAATGTTACATCCGTTACGGTTTGAATCCAAAAAAGGGCGAATTTGTGTAGCGTGAGTCTGGAACCGAGAAGGAACCGAGAAATTGGTTAATGGTAAGCAACATTCTGTTTCGTTCGTACCAACCGGAATGAAACGTCTACCTCAAAACGTACTCCTCAGTTTTCGGTTGGAATTTCCGAAAAGTGACCCTACCATTTACCTTCCATCCAGAATTTCCGAAATTTTCCGTCAAATGGTAAGCACCCCTGTAATGTTTATTAACAATATTCGTCTATAGTATAAAACCATTCAGAAATCTGAATCTGAGTACGGCACATCAAAAAATATTTTTACAAATGCGTGCTGCAAGGGTCGTGGGGAGTAGGACTGGACAACACCATTTCATTTGTTCCTGTTCTCTCTCGCGCATGCGGTTCAATCTCCACGCTGACGTCACACTGCTTGTCTTCTTTACGACAACAACAACAAAAGGACAGCAAAGGATTTCGACGCTTTTTAAAGGGTGAAACTGCGTACAAAACCGTGCAAGCTAAACCAAACTCTGTCAACCGAAATAAGGTCTCATGAATAAACCAAGGCCATGGCTCTACTTTCTTATCTTTTCCTAGAATGAAAGTAAACTCTATAACTTCGACTAGATCGTAGATTTTTAACGCAAAAAGGGCAAAGCAGAAAAATATTGTTAGGACGGTGATGATAAACACTTTGCGTAAAGCTTTAGAGTTGAATTTTGCGCGTTTAATAGACGGCCTCTGTGTGTCTCGAAGGCCCGGTCTTGCAATGACTCTCCTATGTTCACTGCTCTCTCGAAAGACTTTGTAGCCACTTCTAGTGATACGAATGCCCGTAAACAGCGTCATAGACAGCAAGTATACAGTGCACACCATAAATAATGCGGAAGTGTTTTCGACAAAAGCCGTGATCACGTCTGCTATAATCACAACGCTGAAATGTCCCACGATGATAAGGACTAAGAAGCGAACTTTCCGCAGTTTGGAGTACGTCAAGGGTGTAGGCTTGATGCTCGCTGTGAACGTTAGCTGGATCAGAGTGAACGCTGCCATGAAGCAGGGAAAGCCAAGACCAAAAACAATTCGATGAACATAAAGGGGAATCACTACATCGGCATTGTTGATGTTGGTTGTCATTTCGTAGGGAAAAACCACAAGCGCCAGTGCGCGGGTTATCCCGAGGACAATTATCATTGAATGCACCGCATACGAGACGTTGCGGGATACTTTTTCCCTCAAATGACGCCGTTTTGAAGCCTCGACCAGGCGCACAGAAGAGTAAACAGCTAGTCCTAAAAATAAAACTACGAATGAGATCCAGTGAAGCTCCCAGCCCCACTTAAAAGTGGCCTTTGCCTCGTACCAATCAGGAACCGGCTCTGAATTTAGAATCTTCCTTTCTCTTGTTGCTTCCAGATTGGGGCTGGCATAGCTTGAATTGGTCGTTGTATTCGTCATACCACTTTTCTTAATTAATTTGCGGTATCAGCTACTTCCTCCAGTCAGATCGTTAGTTAGGGTGCAAACTTAATTTGTTGCAATCTGCAAAAAAAATAATAATAATAAAATAAATAAATAGAGATCTTATTCGTCGCCATTATCTCAAAGCTCTTGTATGTACTTGGAGTATGTTGTGTTAATTTTTCTGTAGCTGTGGAACTATTTGAAATTGCAACTAGCCAGAATACAAGAGTACAGTCGAACCGGCTACCCCTCGCCTAGGTCAACATTAATACTTACTTCTCACTTTGGGCAAAACTGTGACTTAGGGGAGGGGTCGGTGATCAGTTACCCAGGAACCTCAATTGAACAGTCGAACCCCGAACCCCGCGAAGCCAAAATAACCCGACAGTGCTACTGTAGGCGGGAGAAGATAAAACAAGTGAGTTGTGCGTAATAGTTTGATTAAGTAATACATAAACGAGCTACGTTTGAGTACAAACATTAACAACAAAGGACTGCAAAGGACCGCAAACGAATATGCCGAAGAACGAAGGATCTATAAAGACCTGATCTACTTTTGAGTGTTTCCAGAGAAAAAGTTCAGTCAGTACGTTGAAGGGCGATCCAAGCTCAACAAACAATATCCTGCAGGAACAGCCGATTTGTGCTGAAAATTGACCTTTTGATAACTAACAGTGACATATTGTCCGTTTATGCATATCGGAAGATGTTGTAGATCTACGGAGACTATGAGAAAATACAAGTTACTCAGGGTAGTTTCGAAAACGAAGCACTCGAAAACGAAGACCGAAGCACGAAGCACCCAAAACTCGAAAACGAAGCACCCAAAACTCGAAAACGAAGCACCCAAAACTCGAAAACGAAGCACCCAAAGTTCGAAAACGAAGCACCCAAAACTCGAAAACGAAGCACCCAAGTTCGAAAACGAAGCACCCAAAACTCGAAAACGAAGCACCCAAAACTCGAAAACGAAGCACCTAAAACTCGAAACCACTGTAGGCTGTACGTCTTGCATGACGCAATGCGAATCAGGTGGAGGCAGCGGATGCGTCCGCACCTCCAAAGGTCCACAAAATCCATCCCAAGGTTTTATAAGAGCCTGCCAACTGTTTAACTGAACGTTTCTAGATGGGATATAATGTATTACTTTTATTATTGGTCTCGCTATACTTGATACATCTTACCTTAATATGCGTTTTTTCGGTACACATGCATGTTTATGTAGACTTCAAAACTGTCCGTCAGCAGATTTTGGCTTATTCAAGTACGCGTGAGCAGTAACACAAAAGGTCTGAAACGAGGCTGAAAACGGGGTGTGAGGCTCGCGCGTATTATTATTATTCATACAAAATTTCAACTACAACAAAATCAATTTCCGTTAGTGTTTGCGATTTTCTCACATCTGATTAGTCCCCCACGCAGCCGTGACTAGACAAAGAACGGCTGTGTGTAGGAGACTAACGCCTGATTGGCTTTTACTGGCAATACAGTAACATTCTAGAAATAGTTTGCGCGTTCTCGGTTTTCTGATCACGTCCAAAACATAGCCTCCCAATGGGGCCTCCCACGCAGCGGCGGAAATGCATTTACAACTTGAGTAGATTTGAACTGCATTGGAGTCGTTATCGAATACTCGTTATCGCGCTTGATTTCTGCTGTATTTACATTGGTCTCGTGTTTATAAAGGACAGACCGGTGTCGAGTTTTTTGGGTGCTTCGTTTTCGAGATAGGGTGCTTCGTTTTCGATCTTGGGTGCTTCGTTTTCGAGTTTTGGGTGCTTCGTTTTCGAACTTGGGTGCTTCGTTTTCGAACTTTGGGTGCTTCGTTTTCGAGTTTTGGGTGCTTCGTGCTTCGGTCTTCGTTTTCGAGTGCTTCGTTTTCGAAACTACCAGTTACTCAGTCCTTAAAGTCCTGATGATTCAGTCGTTTTCACGACGCGATTTTTTTCAGGTTCAGAGTTTCTTTGATCTTCCAGTCAGTTAAATATTTGAGCTCAGAAACTACTGAGTCTTTATTCACTTGGTTCTTGAGGGTTTTCACTGTTTGTTTATTGCGGATACTCAATCGAAAGTGCCCTTCATAGGGATCAATATTTAGTTAATCAACTCATCGTTACCAAGCAAGTTCTGAAATTTCGAGCGGTTTACAGTCTCCTCTAAGCGAAATGACCCTTTCCAGACTTTTTACCAGCAGGTTGGGAAAGTGAAGAACGATAACTGTCCTGCTTACGCCCTGGTACGATCGACTGAGTGAACCCTGTGTCATTCATCAGTACGTTGTCGCACAGGGGGAGAAATCTTGAGAGAAAAGGAAGTGTAGACCTCCTCGATGTTACCTCCTAGTGTGCCCCTCGGCGCTCTATATAAACTAACCAAAAAAACTAACCGGCGCCTAGCAAGAAGGCTACAATGTACCAGGAAGATTAGGCGTTTTTGCATCTTTCTATACAACCGTGCGGCGTTGTTTAGAGAAACGGCTATGAACTTGAGATTCTCTGTGGTATGCTCTTATTTTTTGACATTTTTTATCATATTGTTATCGACATGTCGGCGTGTACTAAAGATGATGTGAAAGTCATCCTCAAGTGGAAATTTTAGTCAGCCAAAATTAAAGTCTCTATTAATGTAAGATGAATCCTAATAGAATTTACAAAGCAAAGAACACAATCATCTCAACATCATACCTTGCCCGGTCGGTATTAAGCTTACAAAGCTTGAATCTCACACCAATACGACTGGATGTTGTTGCACTTATCTTGCACTGCTTGAGTTTTGGCTCTCGCTCGCTTGTCCTCCTACATGCTGTGAAATCAGTTTGTTTTCTTCATGTTTCCTTTTACCCACGACTCTTATACTTGTAGACTGACGTCTTCAACAAGGCGAAGAGCCTACAAGTACCAAAAAACGTCAATTGCCTTTAATTGTTTATTATATTGCTACACGCCGATAGAATATTAACTCGCTTAGTCACCCGCAATTTTCCCAGGAGTAATATCTTTTAAGTTTGGCGTGTATTGGCTGCATTCGTCAAGTGCTTTTGATTAGGAACAAGTTTATAACCGCTGTCTATGATTCGGAAAACCCTCCAAAAGCAAAAAATTTTTGTAAATTATTAACCAGCTGAAAAAGATTTGACTTTCTAAGTTCGTCAAATAAAAAAAACTTTGTCATATCATTTAAAGCTTTGATAAGTAGCAGCAACATCACCGTAATGTTGTTGCTAAACAAATAATCATTTTTTAAATGTAATCTTTCGTAATTTTAGTAAAATTACAAGCGATCTGATTCAGCATGTGACATCAGTCCCAGATGATATCGGCTCGGAATATTGAGTGATTTTGTCTCATGAACATTTAGTTTGTTTATTTACCAAGGAACAACAGTTTTTGTTTATTCAGTTAGTATTTTCAAAATATCAAAATCAGTTTTACTTTTCATGTGGTGGTCACTTATTTTTTATGTTTGAGTGTCTAGAAAACGAAAGGCTAGCTGCTGCATTTTAACAAACGCGTGACTTATCTTTTTGGATATAGAGGTCTTGAAGTGAACTGAAGACATGAGACTTTTCCGGATACTATTATCCTCGTTGTATACACGCAATACCTTAAAACAGGCCAATATGCAAGATTCGTTCCATCTTTTGCTAAACCAGTGTTTTTTTAGAGCAATGAATCATTACCTGAGGTTATGTAACGTAGAATGAAAGAATATTGCTTCCTCATTCTCAGGCTTCACGAAATTCAAGCTCTAGACTTGACTCGGCTTTTTTCGAGCCCATTTCATACAAGTACTTTAATTTGCTCAAGCTTTCATTAACGTCCAGACTTAAATTATTTTTGCTTTCATTTCTTTCCTTCGATCGCAAACAACAACACAAGCTAAAACCCCCAAAACAAATAAATAAAGTTCATCCGTTACCATGCAAATGACCTCCCGCCACACCCCTACCACCCCCCGCTCCCGTCCAAAATCTTCACATTTAAGCAAGGGCCAGTTAAAGCTTCGAATTCTTTCCATACAAACAGCCTCAAAAAATACTGCTATTTATCAACCGAATGATTATCATTAGCAAATTTTAACAACTGGCCCAATACACTAAAAACCCGGATATAAGAACCTAGAATTTCCGAGGTCAGGATAAAAAGGTTCTTATATTATAATTATTATAGGGTAGTTTTTCACAGTTTATCCTGATTAGGTTCTTAATAGGTTCTTAGGTTTCAGAGGTTGTCGTAGTGTAACGATTGGTAGAAATATATAGATATTGTTTTAGATTTCAAATCGTCTATATTGCACTGGAGCTTTAAGGAAAACATATTTCTAGTGAAAATCCAAACAAACGTTGATCAAAGAAAACATAAACACAACAACTTTTTGTCAGAGGCTTCTCACACAATTAAATCCAAAATTTTGACCATCAAAATTGGAGTGATCTTTTTTGTATAAGAACCTGTTTTACTTTGCCAGGCTGACCAGTTTCTTATATTTTTTGGTATTTAAATGCCAAATTTCAGCCTGTAGGTTCTTACATGCGGTTTTTTACTTTTACTGTTTTTTTTTTTACTGTATTCATTCAAAAAAAAAATGTCTGCCATGTTTTATAGATTCTTTAGTGTTGTTTATTTGTAGCAGTTTCGGGCGGTTTTGGCCTCGACGTGTGAACCAAAGAAAAAAAAATAAGATAGAAAAAAACGCAGAAATTGCTAAGGTGTCTGCCCAGGAGTTTGACGTCCAGGGAATCACAAGACTAACGTTTTTCTACTCGTTTTGAAAGAGAAGAAAAGTTAAGGTAACAGCACAATTAGCGGTTACAAAACTTAATTCGAGAAAGAGGGTGGCTCATTAAAACAGTTGTGTCAGTTTGTTAAAAAAATTTTCTTGTTGAAAAACGCACGATTGATCATATTGGTTTTACGTGTCTAAGTCATGAAATCACTCCTGGGTTCAAACCTTTCACAGTTTCATGGTATTTTGTCAAAAACTGCCTATTTTCATTAATTGTGAGCGCTAAAAAGTAAGTCTTGAGTCTTTTATTATGGACAAGGCAACACATAAAACGAAAACTACCCCTGACAAGTACAAAACCTTTTTTTAACAGCATCTAGGGATCTGTAAGGCGAGTTTATCCGACAGCAATCGGTTTTTATCTTTGTCAATCAGTGTTGCCCATTCATTCCGCATGTTAGCGTTTTTTTTCCTTGATATTTCGATGAATAATCTTTTTACAGTTTCACCCAATGAAATTCCATTTCTAAATTGCGCAACTTGACAGACTGACTGATTGCCAGTGAGATGATTTATGATAGCCAAAGGATTAGAACCGACGGATTAAAGTGACTTGAAGAGTACTAATGGAAAACGAAGACCAAAACTTTTACTGAGAAAATAAGAAGAAACGCCACAAAGTCAAGGATTATAACAGTTAAAATTATACTGCTATGTTGCTTCTGCTCAGGGATGATCAAGGAATACACTAGTCTCCCTCGCAGCCGTTTTTTGGATGTCACGCAACGCTCCCCTCGCAGCCGTTTTTTGGATGTCACGCAACATCCAAAAAACGGCTGCGAGGGAGACTAGGAATACACATAAAACCGGTAATTATCGAGCACTGTTAAGTGAACTGTTTTTCTTCAGGGCACAACAAAAGAACACACAAGCAAATATCCGGCAAACATAAACACTTTATAAATAATTTCACCTGACTCTGGATATAATGAACTCTGTGATTGTAACTAGAAAGTATTTATGGATGTGGTGCGAATTTTCATTAAGCGTCCGAAAAGATAATAACAAAAAGACTACATTGGCGAGGCAAGACTGTAGACTTGCTACAAGGCGACCTCACGAGCTTTTTAAGCCGCGAAGCGGCAGAGAGAGCGACGGAGACGAAGGAAGTTTTTGAAAGTCTAGCAGGACTGAAGCAAAATGCCAAAACCAAACGGCACGCAACTCATGCGATGTTTAGAGTTTCGGTTCAATTTTGACTGGTCGACAACTTTCCCACACAAATTTTGTAGCCAATGTCGAAGCGTAATGAATCTGGCCAACGTCAAGGGCGGGAAAAGCGCGTGCCGCTAAACCAGAGTTAGCGTCAGCTAAGTTTTGATTGGTCGACAACCTGCCAAGAAACTTTTTTTAGCCAATGACTAAGCCTAGTAAAGCTGGCCGCTGTCAAGGGCGGGAAAAGCGGGCGCCGCTAAAGCAGGATTAGCTTCAGCTTAGTTCTGATTGGACGGCAATTTGCCATGAGATTTTCAAGCAATTTCAAGCAATACGTAATCGAGGGTACTGAGAAATACTTACAGACAATCGCGAAGAAACCCGGCGCTCAATCGAATGAGATTATGATCACACGTGACAAAAATGAAGAAACCCGTACGGTTAGTACAGCAGCATCTTCTAATAACGTCAATAACTAGCGAAACGGCACAATGATTCGCATTACTGCATGCAATAGACCTTTTTAGCTTGCATGTTTTGTTTTCCCAAAGTATTTCACGTGATAATGATCTTGAGTACTATTTCTTTCAAATTTTCTTATTCACGTACACAGTGGGGGATCCAGACCTTCAGATAAGGAAGGGGTGGGGGTCCGGTCATTCAGACCCTGAGATAAGGAGGGAGGGGGGGGGGGGGGGACAAAAAAAAAATATGTGCTGGCGCAGTGGGGGGGCAGGGGGGAGAAGGGGGAGGGGGGGGGGGGGGTGCGGGCAAGGCGACGGGGAGAAGGGGGGGGGGGGGGGGGGGGGCGGACAAAAAAAAAATTGTCGTCCCTTCGGGCCTCATTTTGGTCTAAAAAGAAGGGGGGGAGCGGCCCCCCGGTCCCCTCCCCTGGATCCGCCACTGGTACATACGCTGCATATGTACGCATAATTTATGAGAAGACAAAAGGAACAAATTTTTCTTAGACCGTCAGTGGGAAAACAAAACATACAAGCTAAAGGGGTCTATTGAGAACAGTTAATTTCAGCGTTCCATGACTTGATTCAAGGCTTCATTCTGTTCTACCTTTGCTGTACTTCATTATGTAATCTGGTAAATTTACCTCTGTCAGTCTTTTTACACAACAATTAAACGCAATACTGTAATAAATCACAAAACATTTAGCATTTGACTTCAGTAGCTAACGTTTCGTCCGACGCTTTAACTTCCTTGTCCACTTCGCTTCTTGCTGTCGCTACTTCTTCTTCCGTTAACTTTACCCAAGGTTCTTTCTCAGTGTGATCTTTGTCTTCGCTGCTTTCTTCCTTTTTGCCCTCCCCTTCTTCTTTTTCGTCATCTTTCTCGTCAACATTTTCATTTTCGTTTTCTGCCGGTTTATCTTCGTCCTTGTTTCCCATAAATTCGTGCGTGTAGAGTGGTACAAACGATTCGAAAAAGCCGCATTCTTCTGTAAGGTTTGGTAAAAGCCAGAAGTGATGTTTCCCCCATGTGCACACCCACACGATCGCAAAGAACACGTACCGCACTGTAAAGAAAACGCAAAACAGAAAGTATATCAGTTCTGAAGAATTCGCGGTTGCCTTTTCGCTATCGCAAAGGAGAATTTTGAGAGGAAAGCTCTGAACAAAAAACGGACGTTCAACGGGATTTGAATTCAAAGACAATCACAAAACAAACAGAAAAAGAAACAGTATGTACCCAACGATTTTACGTCCAAACAATTTTTAAACCCAGTCCTCCTTCCGATAAAACGTCTCCCGCAATGGATGTTATGTCACTCAGTTTCCGTAAGAATAAAAGCATATAAAAAAAACGCACTTTACTCGAGTGTCACTGTGTTTAGTAAGAAAGTAATAAATAAGGACAATGCCGTTTTTGGGTCCGCCACTTTATGGCCATCCGAGCCATGCAAAGATCCAGCTGTTTGCATGGCAAAAGCAGTACAACATTTCTAACTTATTGCGAGACCCTTATTATTGGTCAAGTCCCAGGAATCGAACCTGCGAGCTCCTGCTCTGCAGTCAAGCGCCCTACTAACTGAACTGGTCCTGCCGCTTGCCCCAAGCGAGGTAATACGGATTTCGGAGTCCTGGATTTCAAGTTACCAGGTAAATACAACAAGTAGGCGGGGAATCAAGCAGTTAGGGATTTCGTTTGCCTCTATTTTTCTTCTATTTTCTTATGGAAATAACCGGGGGTTATATTCATGGAAGCCGAAGGAAATCCCCGGCCCCCGACCCTTAATGACAGCCCTGTTTTTGCTTCTGGGATCTGGAAATCCTGGGCTTTGGAATCCGGAATTCAGCTTAAAGGATCTGGAATCCCGCAAACGATTGGAATAGGCAATCCAAGTTCCAGCGAAAGGAATCCACAATCCACAGCTAGGAGTCCAGAATCCAAGACTGTCTTGGATTCCCTAACATTTGGTGATACCGCGTTTGTGGCACATGGAATCGTTTGTTCAGATAATAAACAGGGTTGCCACGGTCAGGGAAAAGTCAGGGAAAACGAAAATTTTTCAAGGTCAGGGAAAGGTCAGGGAATTTTCTAAAAAGTCAGGGAAAATCTTTGATATTGTCAAAGTCAGTGAAAAGTCAGGGAACTCTGTTTTCCGGTTTATAGTCCATAAGTTATCTCTGAGACTTTAAAATGCATTTTCTTTCGGGAAAGATGAAGAGTATACTGCAAGCAAGCAAAGCCATTCATTTGACACTTTACGCCTGACACTGCATGTAGTAGTCGTGGTCAGTGGTTTTTGTTGTGAATGATTTCTTCCAAATTCCTTCTTCCTCTTTCAGCAAAAAAAGGAAAGAGGTTAAAAATTAAGAGAAAAATATCGATGGCCTACAAAACAAGCTAAAGCGAATGTAAACATCCACTGTTTCTCATTAATAAAAGGTCAGTGAAAAGTCAGGGAAAAATCAAGGAATTCTTAACTTTCTGATGAGTGGCAACCCTCAGGCCAAAGTTTAATAGGGAACACAAAGGTATGATAATGATTATAAAAGAAACTTACAGACAGCAAGTACAAGAATGGAGCCAACCAGAGCGGCAGCGAAGACACTCAGATACCAGACATATTCCCTGATGTTATATGGCCATAAAGGAAACAAGCAGATGGCGATTGTCGCTATAACTGTTGAGTAAATGACACATCTGTAATTAACACGGAATAAACGGCCTACGACTTACACACTTCAAGTACAGTTAAACCTCTTCAGAACGAACAACTAAATAACAAAGCTCCCAACATAACGACAGTATTGATCTTTCTGGATACGGTAATTAAGCCCATAATTTCAAAAGTTAAGTTTTTTGTGACGTCATTATCCCGGGGGGGGGGGACTTCCATATGAAACAGATGGGGATGCTCGTCAGAAATTTTGAATTTAACCCCTAAAGGAGACCATCTGGGCGTGGCTCTAGCTTTTTGTGACTCCTAAAGGAGACCAATCTGGGCGTGGCTTAAGCAAATTGTGACCCCTAAAAGAGACGCTTAAAAACACACAAATATGACATGCAATGAGTTTTAATGATATAAAGACATAATCATCGAATGCTTTTATCTAAAAGTAGTTTTTAAAAGCATTGTCATAAATCTCAAGTTCTTCGCGGAACCCTAAACGAGACCTTGGCGGCTTAAAATATTGGCACTTTGCCCGGAACACCCTAAGCGAGACCAAAATCCAAAATTTACACCCCTAAGCGAGACGACGAGCATCCCCGTCTGTTTCATATGGGAGTCCCCCCCCCGGGGTCATTATTTTCCTTCTCTATTGAGATTTTAAGCTTTGAGCAGCTTATTGCTTTCTTACGAGACTCTAATTACTTTAACAACTTTCTCGAGATGCATTGTTAGTTTCCTGTAACCCGATTGGTCAAGTTGACTGCTGACGCGTATTTTTCCGCGCTAAATACCTTGTACATGTAAATTTCAACTTCTGATTGGTTGAATTAATCCCTTGCACATTCATCTGTTACTGATTGGCTAAAAAAAGCTTGGGATGGAGGTTGCAACAAGACAGGTTGCTTCTTTGACTGATTAATCTTAAAACTTACCAACCAATACTCCCATGACAAAAGTCTTGGGATGGATGGGGTCAAAGATCCAAACATACGCCTAAGTGAAAGATAAAAATGATTTCTTACGCTCATGCAGGGTAGACTGCGATAGTTTCTTTCTAAAACTTCTATTTGAGTTTAAGCAATACTGTAAGTAAATAAATACAGGATTTTCTTCTTCATCATTATTATTCACTAAAATTACTATTATTATCACCCACATCACTAAATTTTGTCCAGAGACTCAAGAGTTAGATCCTTTACTGTTCAGATAAAATCCTAACGTGTACCCTGGGTACCTGAGATTTTTTCTCACGTGCGGTGGAGATGCTTCAGCGTCGGCTACATGTCGACACGTTCTCGGCCGCAGGCAAAGCCACGAATTGCAGTCGTTTCGCTTGAAGGCGTTCGCTACGACTTAAATCGATTCGCCCGATGACATACAACACTCTACAACATGGTGAATCGACTTCTCTGAGATGTTATTTTAGTGACCCTTGGATTCCACACGTGTAGTCACTGTCTTTTCATGCTTATTCCTTTTTCTCAGGATTGACAAAAGAACGACAAATACAAATCGGGCGAATCGACTTAGTCTGGGCGAACTGCTATCGAGAGAATCGACCTTCAGGCGAAAGCACCCGATACCAAAGCCACGAGCGGCGAAGCACGCGTAACTACAAGACTTGACTCACTGATATCAAAAACCGTGCATAAAAAGTATCTGGCACCCAAGGTACCTAAGGTGTGACCAGGGCAGTCATTACAGACGTGGGATTTCCCCCGACTATCATGAGGATGACCCCTGGCTACCTACATAAGACACAAAAGGGAAAATAAAACCAAAAGAACCTCATAGCTGTTGAAATCTCCACACACTAAATGCATTCAGACAGAAATTTTGAAATTTTAGTAACAGTCAGCCTGCAGTGCCGGATCCAGACCTTGAGATAACGTGGGGGGAGGGGGCCGGTCATCCAGATCCTTAGATAAGGGGGGGCCCAGTCTCCCAAAAAATTTTTTTCAGCCCTTTTGGCTCCAGTTTAGTCCAAAAAAAGGGGCGAGGGGGAGGGGGGGGGGCCCCCCGGGCCCCTCCCCTGGATACGCTAATGGCTTATGTGACCATTCAAACGAATGGTACAAGAAGAAATCATATTTCTGAACTTAAATTTTTTCTGGGTTAAAGAGGTACACTTTAAGGACAATAAAACAAGGACGGTATTGTAGGTACATGCAACTCAAACTTACCTCATCATCATCATCCACAAAGATCTGTTCCTCATGTGGTTCCAGCTTTACTTTCACCTTAAACAAACAAAGTAGAAAACTATTACACACATTTAAGGGGGCATTACGGTTGTTTTTTTGGGGGAAATGATGTTGATTTGGGAAGGAAATAAATTAGCGTAGAAACGGTGTACACATAAACCAGTTAGTGCGCTGATGGGATCAGAGGCATCTTGTTGTGGTGGTGGGCTATCTGGTAATTGTCTACTACTTCTTCACTTCATATTTTAATTTTTAACAACCACCAAACCCAATATTTTCCAATTTTTCTAAAATTTCAAACACCCTCCCCCCCCCACTAGTTTTTATCCATTAAAAACATTCGAAAAATCATCCAAAAATTCTCAAAAAATTATCGAATTAAGGACTCCAACTCAATTGAGTCATTGTTTGATTGAATGAAATCTTGGCTAGATAGTTAAGAAAAAGGGTGGAAATCAACGAAAAATAATGCTTTTAACCAGACTGCCCCCTTTTAATGGAAGAGGTTTAAACAAGTTCAGTTAGTTCAGTACGTGGAATTTGTATAAAAGTTGTCATTAGAGGGGCTGTGACAGAGTTGCCTGGTTACTTTAGTTAATAATTCCAATTAAGCATCCTTATTCACTTTGGAACTTGAGAAATGGGTCATTTGCACGACAATGTCTTTTTGCTACTAAGACCAGAATTCATGTCGTTTTTCCCTTTCATCTTTAAATTGGGTAGTCCCAGTGAGGTTTTTTTTTACCAGCTTTTCTGGACACAGAACTGCCCAGAGGGGATAGGCTCGAAGGGAACTCATGGGTCCCATGCGAGGTGCCACCCGTACCCAATCCCACAACCTGTAAAGGTTGAAAACACCACCAGCGTCTATGACCCCTACTCTTTTTGAATAGTGATGTTGGTTTTTTTACATCCCACAAGAACAAATCAGTGAAAGTGTTGTGAGACAGGACCTATGGTTTCTCATCCTTATCTGAGGAGACAAGAAAGTCTAACCATTTGAAGATCTCATTTATTACAAAGGCAGCACTTTCTTCTCAGTTATTTAAAGACCCTGAGTGTTGGTCTGGCTGGGGTTTGAACCCATGACTTGTGCTTGGCAGACCAACTGAGCTAACCAGGAGGCTGTTTAGATAACAAAAGCCTTAATTTGCACAAGAAAGCAATACCCCGAAGGATTCTGGTCATAGTAGTAAAATGATGCCATCGTGCAAATGGCCCATTACCCGTAAATGGCAAATTCACAGCTTTGTGTCAAAGAAATATGTCTCCCAAGTAGTACTGATATCAAAACTGTTAGGCTAACAGGTTTTCAAAAAAAGCACAATTGCAATCCGTTTCAATGCTCTGATTAAAGTTTGTCCATCTGTTTATCCTTTTGTATTTGCTGTGTTATTCATACAACTGTAACTTTTTTTTATGTTCTAAGTAGTGAACTTAATGTTTCACTCAGTTTTGTAGAGGTTCCCAACGTTTTAATTTAGAAATAATGACACAGCTCCTTTAAAGGTAGGCTTGGAAGTGATGGGCGCAAGAAAGAACGGGACACGGGAGGGAGACAAGCGAGGGAACATGCTCCCTCTCCCCTCGCATTTCTCTCTTGCGCACCCAGTTCTTTCTTCTGCGCGCCTACTACGCAGGCTACCTTTAAGGTAAACGCAAACCTTTCTCAGTTTCTTTTTTCCTTCACCTTGGCTGCTTTTCTCAGCTGCCTAAAGCAAAACAAAAAAGAAATGATAAAATATCATAGTTCATAAAGACCTGAATCTCTTCTTTCAAGACTCTTCATAGACAAATTTCATTTCTTAAGCTCTCGGTTTCTACACAAATAGACACAAGTGCTGAACTGTAGAAATCTTGTGTAATTGATGTCTTGAAAGGACATGTGCAACTACCAACCCAAAACTGGTATTAATTTCCTATTATCAGTTGCTGAAAAATGCAAAGGATGTACATATTTTCTAGGTGTCACCACCAAAATGTACATAAAAACTTGCACAGTAATGATAATAAAATTGAAGACTGTATTCTCAAGAGGATTGAAGGTGTGTGGAAGATATTCAAGGACTTTTCTGAGAACAATTCCTAAATTTTCCAAATTCATGGACTATTCAATGACCTGATGTTGTTTTTAAAGGTCTATGCAATCCACATATTTATTACTGAAAATAGAAAGCACATATATATTGTAGCAATTAGTTAAATAGACAAAATACAGCTAGAAGGAAATTTCTTACTTTTTGTTTTCCTTCTCCGCTTTCATCATCAACCTTGAAATTAATTTTAAAAAAACAGGGTTATGAGCTTATAGGGTTACTGTACATGTGTGAATTTGTGCCTAAGGCACTTATACGTGTATTTAATTTTATGAGACAAGAATAGGTGGCATATTTGAAGGGGGTGCTTACTTGGTTTTCAAATTTCAGCCTCAGAGCAGGGCGTAAAGAAAGTCAGTTTTACAGCTTACCCAAGCTGTAGCTAGCATGTGCTAGCCCAAGAGTCATTTTAACCAGTGAGAAAAAAATTCTTGACTAGCAGCATTGAATACAGTCCTTCTGTTAATTTGAATCTTTGCTTGCCCGTTGAGCAGGATAAGAACAGAGTCCACTAGCCTGATAACAAATCAAGCGTGGCCAAGGGTTTGAACTTAGGATGACTGAGAACAAATCAAGCAAGTGACCAGATCAGGACTCAAACTAGGGACCGCTGGATTGCAAGATTGATGTGCTGACCACTCAGCCACTCTGCCCCCACTATTAAAAATACATGTATTTTCTCACTCCCCGCTCCACAAATCATGAACTGTCATTCATTAAAACTAAGACTATGTACAACTTGTTTTGTACAACAATGAACCAACTGAGGAATACACCAAAACGGTACATTATGTCCAGACGTAGTTAAGTGATAAACCGATAATCAGTATTAATCAATAGTAATCGATATCAACAATCGATGAATATAGATTTCTGATATTGATCGATAGAAATCAAGAAAGAAAAAGAGGTGTGACTTCGATTAATATCAGTCGACGATTTTCTGATAGAATTCTCTGATGATTTTATGTCAAATCGATTACTATTGATTCCTATTAATTGTGTTAATCGATAATAATTGATAAATTATTGTTTCAGCTGTGACTTGGATTTCTATCGATTTTCGATATCAGTCCATATAAATCAACGGATTAAATCGATTAACATCGATGATGTCGATTGATTTCCTATCTCGATTCTTACCGATTAACTAAGTCTGGATTATGTACTGACGATACCATGCAAATCACAGCTAACCTTTTTTCCTTCTTCCTTCTTTTGTTTCTTCTTAGTTTTTTTACTGTCTGATTCCTCTTTCTCTTTTGAACGTTGCTCTTCCTTTTCTTTCTCTTTTTTCTTTTCTTCTTCACTTTTCTTCACTTTTTTGATTCGCACAACACGCTCAAAGAAATTCAAAATCAGCAACCTAAAAGTGACATGATATATATGTACAAGAATATTTAAGTTTAGCAGGGCAGTTTCATAACCTGTATAAGGGGGTAACCTTTTCATTGAGGGCCCTAAAAAAATGTGTTCTTTGTTAAAAAGCAGGTTTGTGACCATTTGGGGGTTTGTTGTACATTATTTTTGGCATCGAGATAGTGGAGCTCCATGCATTCTTTCTCCCTTTTTTATGCAAAATCGCCCAGCCTTTTCTTTGGAATTTCATGTTACTGCAAAACCGTACACCTGAAGCAGCAAGGGAACCAAAGTAAAATGTCACACTAACTCACACATACCAAGCAGTCATATTGAAATGATAATTTGTGATGCTGTTAATATTGTTTGTTTAAAGAGTATTATACGTCAGCTACAGTTGACTCCTGATACTGAACTCAAACCCTCTCTAAATAGAACCTTGCATTAATTTGAACCAAAGATGATTTCCTCTGGATTTCTGTCATACATTTACTGTACATTTTCCCCTTGGTAACTTGAACCTCCCGCTAACACAAAGTGATTTTTGTTTCCCCTCAGATCATTTCTATATCATTTTACCCTCGATAAATTGAACCATTTTTTTAGCGCGTAACAAGTCGACTTCCCAAGAAGGTTTGAATTATCTGAAGTCAACTGCATATCAATGTAAACTATCAAAGTAAACCAATGAAAATGAAAATGAAAAGTGGAACCATATCACACACAATAAGTTCAATTTGATAAGAGATTGTGTTACAGTCAAACCGGGAAAACTGTGAACACCAGAAATATTTCTGGAATGTTATTGTGTTGCAATAAAAAAGTCAATCAGGCATGAGAAAACCACACTGCAAGCAAGAACGTTAATTAGTTTGTGGTTTTGTGGCTTGCTTACATGTCCTGATCTCTGCTGTGATTGGTCTTAACACAATAAACATTCTTGAAATATTTCAAGTGTTCCAGGTCTTTCTGGTCACACTATAACCTAGCAGCATGCAAAGAAAGTCGTGTCCGATAGCCCGGGGCTAGTGGATTTTGCTATTGGGCTAGTGAATTCTGTTTTTAACTTGCCCGAAGGGCAAGTGATGTTTTTTGAGGAATTCAAATAACAGAAGAACTGTGAAACCAATTCTGCTTGTCAAAAAGCTTTTGGGGCTAGTTGAAATGAAGTCTGGTCTAGTAAATGCTAGCTTCAGCTTGCCCGAATGGCAAGCTGTAAAAAAGAGTTTCTTTGCACCCTGCCTAGTTTGAAATATTGGGGTTCTACAGTGATGGTTTACATTACAAATTCATGCTCACCTGTCTAAATATAACTCCACTGATACACGATCAGTAAAGAGTATCTCAGCACCTCCTTTGCCTGATGCCCATTTTGAATCCATTAAACAATCAACTGCTTTTGAACCTATCACAAAGTCAAATGAATACAACTCCAGTTGAATACAACTATAGTCAAATAAATGTAAAATCAGCAGGATACAACTTTCTTTAGAAAATTCTGTCCATAGAAATGATCAGAAGATGCGCAAACAGTTTAAAAGTGCAGCTAATTAAAAAAAAGATGGCTCAATTTAAGCTTCTGGGAAACTGCCCACCTACCCCTCCCCTGAGCTAACATTTTGCCCTAGATGAGGGGTGAGTGTTAATGTTACCTTACGGGAAGGGTAGGTGGACAGTTTCCCAGAAACGTAAATTCATCCAAAAAGATCTTCTATTACATTTATTTACTACCCTTTAACACCCGAGAGCGACCAACATCAATTTTCTCCAAACAATGTCAATAAATAATCAAATCAGTCAAAAGGTTATGAGAATTATTAAAATAGAAGATCAAAGTATTTTCCCTTTGGTGATCATTTTGTTCACTCTCATAACTTCTCTACTTGATGATGAATTAATATTGTTGAGACTCTAGTGACTAACAGGGGCAGAGTGGTGTCCGTCGTATACAGAGTCAAGGAAACTTTAACTCCAGGCCCCAGTTGTTCCAAAGGTGGATAACGCTATCTACAAGATATCATAATATTATTGGTTTCCTTAATCAGCGGCACCCAACCATGGTTTCCTCCTAAATGCCTTGAAAATGGTTTTTAGGCTATCCAGAGTACTTTAAGGTCTGTAGAAATACATTTTAATCATCGCTATAAAATTTAAATCTGTTCGGTCATCCTAGGGCAAATTGAGTATTTTCGAAATTACCAAGGCTTCAGTGTTATTTTCCTGAAAATTTTAGATGCAATTTAAAGTTTTTCGAAAGTAAGAATTTTTCTAATTCCTTTTTCCATCGCGTCTTCGAATCCGAAAATGTTAGGTTTCCTTTTTCTGTGAAAAATAACTTAACCTGGGGTGTGAACTGCAAATAATTAAACTTCAGAAAATCATAGGCAATTTTTTAAATAAGTTTCGAAAATTGTACATGAATGTAACAGTCATGTAGAAATTTTTAGCCTTCCACGAGGTATAAAAAGTTTTAGGAAATTTAAACTTCTCTGAACAGACATTTTACAGAAAACTGTTGATGGGTACCCCTGCCTAACATTCGCTGGATAGTGATTCATACTTTCGATAGTGCTATCCGAGGTTTGTACAACTAGGCCAAATAACAAGGCAAGATAGTAGATGTTATCTACAGAGGTTTAAAAGTTGTTTCTTATGGTTCCTTTGTCCCCTAGCCCTAATTCAAGAAAATGCAAGGTCTTTCTCAGGGAGAAGGGAAAATAATTGTTCATAAAGGTTTAGTTTTGTTTTTACAGTTGAATCTTTCAGATCACTGACTAATAAATTTTGCTTAGTGTTGAAACCAGATTTTCATCCTGCAGCCTCTTGTTCTGAGCCAAATTCAGTGTTAATGTCTTCACTAGATATTTGCTGTCATATATCTCACATTTCCTCTTTTCTTTCTGCCGCACTTTAACACAGACGAAGTGATTTTTCAAGTGTCTGTAAATAATATTGTCTCATAAGTATATGCTGTCCTTTTTAGAGAGCTGTTTGTCTAAATATAACTCTCAACTGACCCTGGGGGACCATTACAGGAAAATGTCAGATATCTTAGCTGTTACAATAGTTGACCTTTCTTAATTCTTTTGAAAAAATCCATTAGGCTGGTAAGATACAGATATTTGACCTTTCTTCATAATTATAATTAAATGATTATCGTGCATATCTTCCTGTCTTAAAAGTGTATTTTTTACTTTGCACGTTGTAAGTAATGTGAGTTTCCCCTTTCAAAACAAATTTATTATGCTGACAAACAACAGTATGCTAAAATTATTTTCAATCATTGACGCATGAAATTGACTAATAAAGCGAAAAATTTAGTCAGCTAATTTGATGACCACAGAAAAAAATGTCCCACAAGGTAAAGATTACCAACATCAAGCATAATAAAACCCGCAAAATAACATTACCAGCGTTGTGTTGTATGAGCCGAGAGAAGGTTAGCATCTCCCTCGATAAGGACGAGAAAAGTCTTCGGACTTTCAACCTACAACACATGGTTAAGGCTATGCCACTTACTTCGTGGCATCTAACCAATTTTTTCCTCCAACCAAATAATAATTTATGGTATATTCTACTATTAACAAAAGGACACGTCATGTTATAAAGTAAAACTAGTGTTTAAAAACATAATTAACTCTCGCTATTTTTCTCACTCAAAAAACGCGGATACAGTGTAAATAGAGTTCAGGGATGGATGAGACACAACAACATCGTTGATCATAACACACTGGAAACAATGAGTGAAGAATTTTCTCCAATCCGAATCGAATGAACAACTTGTATTAATTAACGTAAGCTTTCATGCTTCGTTAAAAACAATGCAGTCTTTAGTTAAGGCTATGCGTTATTTCCATGAGGAGAAAAATAGAAACAAACTACTCTGTTCGTCTGTGCATTAAGAAGGGATAAAAAAGACATATTAAGTACTTATTTACCGATAAAATATTCGACTTTTTGACCCATCATCGTCGACGGTTTGGATGGGCAGTTGAATCTGAGGTACTTTCCGACTTCTTGTTCTTCTTTGGTTGGTTCATTGTTTTCTTCTCGTGCCTAAGAATAGAATAATTTGTTTTTTCTTGATTAAAATCTCTGAAAAGTCGGTCCGTGGGAAAAAAAGGCGACTCGGAAAATAATAAAACATGCTTGAAAGAAGCCCAGCGAAGGTACAGCGTACTACATCGACTGCAGCGACCAAATATGACATAACATACAAACCTTCCATCCAACAAACACACAGAATAGAATAAAGATTAACTTACCTCCTTCTTCTTCCGTCTTTTTACGACCTTTTGTTGATCCGCCATCGTTTCACTCAAAAAAATACCAAAAAATTTTGCTAGATGAACAGATCAGACAATTCTCGTTGTTCAAAGATTTACGAAGAAAGCCGAAGCTTTCCGAAAAAATCCGACCAGTCCGACCAAGGCTGTCGATCGTCACGCAAGTAACTTGTTGGATCGTGACAATATTTGGTTGATTTTTTCTACCCTTGGCCGAGGCTCCATGATTTAGAAGTTTAGTTGAGAGAACCTTACTTTTATTTTCAAATTCACCGTTTTGGACTTTTTTTATTGGCTAATTAGGCTGGAAATGGCTAAAAAAGAAATTTGTAATTGCTGATTTCTGCTAACTGGATTTTTCGTATTTTGGGGAGGCGAATCTATATATTCCGATGATTTTTTCTTTCATTTTTTACAGCCAGTTTTATTACCCACTTAATCTTCCTTAAACCCTAAATCCTAATCCTAACCCTAACCCTAGCCTTAGGGTTAAGGTTGGGGCAAGTTCCTGGGAAAACCATTAGCGTTTAAAGTTTAAAACGAAGTGCAAAAGATTCGGTTTGACAAAGACTTTTAGGGATTCCTCTTTCAAACTGATTTGAATTAAAAAATCTTCGATCTTCGATGTAACCCTAGCCTAACTTAACCTTAACCTTAACCCCAAGGCTAGGCCTAGGGTTAGGGTCATTTAGCCTACATCGAAGATCCAAGATTTTTTATTTAAACTGCAGTTTTAAAGATGAATCCCTGAAAGTCTTTGTCAAAACGAATCTTTTGCACTTAGTTTCAAACTTTAAACGCTAATGGTTTCCCGGGGGGGAGGGGAGGGCACTTGAGTGCAGTTTGGGTTCAGGTGAGCCGCTTAGGTCTTTAAACCCTAGCCCCAATTAAGACAGAATCCGTATATTTTGCTACCCTTTTTATGCCAAGAGACTGATTTTCATGACTCTGTTTAAGACTGTAGCCCAAATGCCCTGTTTAAGGAGATATTTTCTTTTTAGATACAAGTATAAAATAGAATGTTCTTCTGGAGTCACATACAAAAAGCTTTTTGAGATTATTGACAGAAGAAAATTATATTATTTTAAAAAACTTCGTTACACACGTAGACCGCACCCCGCCAAAATTCACACCCGGTTTAAGCCTTCGGGTCTAAAAAGATTCAAGACGCTCAATAGTGAAATTATATACCCTCAGTCTTTAAGGACTTAAGGTCTGAAAACCATGGGCAGGAGCATTTGATGGGCTCCTGCCATGGGTCAATTTAGGTTTGTGGAAAGCTCCCACCCACCCCTCCCCTAAGCCAACATTTTGCCTTAAGTGACAAGTAAGTGATAATGTTGTCTTAGGGGAGGGGTGGGTTTGCAGTTTCCCAGAAACCTAAATTGATCCAAAACCATACCCTGTTCAGCGGCACATACCCGTATAGACCAAATAAGGGAGTGCCACCCCCGGGAATCAGGTTTTCCCAGGAGCTTATCCTCACTTAACCCCGGGGGCTATGTTACGCCCGTTATGGTTACATACTTACATTGACGTCCGGGCATTGACGATTGCTCATTTTATAATACTAAGTGTTCGTAACAAGAATATTTTTCCAGTTTGTTCTAGGTTAATTTTTAACGCCAATGGTTTGATAATATGATATGATGACCCTTGAATTTTTGGACGACACGCATATTTTTCACTTGGTGTTAGACTAACATTAGACTGCTTGCAGTCTGCCTTTTCTCTTAAAATCCGTCTATTTCTTATCTCATCCAGCGCGATTGCAAACCACGCTGTACAGTCAGCTTCGTTTCATTTTTTTTTTTTCACAAGAAAGGTTGATGTCTTGATCTAGCAGGTTCTGACACCTTTGTTTGAACTTTGGTCCTTGCTAGTTACTGGCCGGGCGGGGGAGGGGGTACTGGGGATTCTTGGTGGGGTTGTTCCGCCCGGGGTTTTCCAAATCCTACCCTATTTTAGACCAAAAAACTGTCATCTTCCACCCCCGTTTTCAAACCTGGTGTCTTCAGAAATTATGTTATCATTACTCAGATTTCAGATCAGAGCACTAACAAAAAGATTTCTTAATTAAACCCATTTCGAATTCGCCGGCATTTGGAATGAAAACGAAAAATACGTTCATGCATTCCCGTATTCCCTCGAAAACCATACCCGAATTCAGACCGAAATAGGCAAAGTTTACACCCTTATTCAGACCAAAACGGCGCAAAACTCTTACCCTAACCCTATGGGGCGGCAAAATATAAGGAAATATCCCCTCCCCCCAGGCGGTTACCGAAACAAGGAACTCTCGATGGTTTTAAATTAACCCGTGGCTCAATGACTGATCGGTTTTAACTTTCACCTGAGCATAATTTAGGGTCACCTGAGAAATAAGTGGATTTGAAATCGAGTAAGGTCATATTGCCAAGGGGACCTGATCTCCGTTCCTTCCCGGCCCCGCATTCTACGGTTTATCGCTGCGTGGGAATGCAAATAAGAACGTATGCTTTCTACGTCAGAGTCGAATGATTGACAGCCTCGCGCACCCGTGACGTTTCATCGTCCACCTGATTGTTCTTCGACTAATCGGCTCTTGTCGCCGATAATCATTTTAACATTGGGTGTGAACACGCTCGATAGCACCTCATAATTCTATTAAAAGTAAGAAAGCTGTTTGCTTTTTTAACGATTTGTACTTCGTTGTTCAGATGAGAGACTGCGTCTTTTTTCGTGTCTATGAGCATAAAATGTTGGGGATTAAGATACAACTGAGAACTAGTTTTTCCGCTCGGAAGCACTCCTTCAAGTTTTGCGTAGGACAATCAGATTGTAAATTAGAACCGTTACCCATTATAGCACTATGCGTAATTAGCAACAGTTCCGGACAAAAAATAGGCGAATTTTTGCTCCCCCCCACCCATGGTCATTTATAGATCCCGTGATCATGATCCCCGAAATCCGGTCTTAAGCCCTAAATCTATATCTATCACCAGTCTGGACACCTAAATCGATTGTATTAGTCAAAAACAAAAACAGCTCATCTGGGAATGACATCCACAAGGCCACACAAGCCCACATAGCTAAGATGGTCAACACCCCGGGTAATTTCAATCATTCTTACGACTTATGGCCTTTGTTGACAAAATAATGTCATAAAATACAATATCGTCTACCTCAATGTATTTTACACCTTTTAAATTTGGTAATGAAAGCACTGTCTTTAGCGTGTGAGAGGCAGTTTTTCTTTGATAGTCATCCCCATTCCCTTGTTACTAAGGTTTTAAACAAGCCATAGTTTCAGCGGGTGAGGCTTTTAATGGTTCATTAAGTCTGCATTTACTCTTGAATAAACACACATTCCTACTGCAAACGTGATAAAATTCATCACCGATCACTTGTGTTTACATTCATCAACTCTTCAAAACTTAATTATCAAACCTGACTCAGTCACGGCATTTGTCCCAGTGGGCCTACCACCTCGTAAATTAAAGCTACCAATTTTCCCGGCAAGCAAAAATTCCCTGGTATACTCTAGTAAAATTACTTTGTAACTTAAAATTGCGTGCTTCGTACTGTGCTGTTGAAAAGGCCGCAGGGTGTTACAAATTGTTGATTCAATTGTTCTCCAAATGACAGATCAGACATAAGCTATTGTTATATTCCTAGACTTTTACTCAACTAAACAGGGACTGCCATTGGTTGATTCTTGGTCACGTGGCCTTGACTAAAATCAAATGTATCCCGATCGTGGTACATTAAACAATGTATCCCGCTCGGGATACATTGCAGCACGTGATCAAAGCATGGTGGAAAGTGGGGTGACAGAAGGCGGGAAAAACACCGCCAGGTCCAGCCAGTTTTCTTTTTCGTGAATGAACACAACAACACAAAAACGAAGCCTCAAGCTAAAAAGCAACGATTTTTAAAGTTATCCCAGAAGTTCCCAGAAGAAAAACAGCAGCTAGTGGAAGAAAAAGATGCAGATAATATGAGGAAAGTACTTTTGTTTGTAAATCATTCATTCAGTGGTTTTGAGAATTAAATTTGTGTTGTTATAAGTACCGAGTCGACTGTTTTGGTTCGCTCCGGTTATTCTTTTGTTGCTGTTGAAGTGAAAGTGTAGAAATATAACAAAACACTTAATGTCAGGTCCCTCGGGAAACCAGTTAGTTTTGTTTTCCCTCGAGTCCTGATGTTTCCCTCGACTTCGTCTCGGGAAACATCAGGACTCTTGGGAAAACAAAACTAACTGTTTCCCTCGGGATCTGACATTAAGTGTATAATATCGTTTGACCTCTCTGACAACTGCCATTCTTGTAGTACAGTGCGGACACTCATTCGCGCATTATACGGCTCAAGTAGCAGCGGACAGTATTGTGATTTTGCTTGGAGTTTTGACGCCTTTTTTCAAGGTAAGGAACGTAAACATTTCCTTCTAATGATACTTCAAATGATTTTCTGAACCCTGCAGCGAAAGTGGTTCTAAAAAAACCATTAAAAAGCTGTGGTTTAAGGGTTTTGTTCTTCCCCATGGTGTCGCAGATAATATTGATTAAAGAACATGATTGCAGTTGCTAATCTTCTTCACAAAGGAAAATGATGCCTTCTGAAAACAAATAGTCCTTACTTCACAGATTTATCAGCTCTTAAAGTTGTAAAGACCATATTCTGAGACGTTTTTAGACCAAAAACTGCAATGTCTGATTCACACGAAAGTGATACCTGCAGAATTTCGGTGAAAAATACCACGGTCTGAACTCTTTAAAGAAATGGAATGCTGTAAAGCCGTCATGAGTATCGCACGTAATCTTTCAATGGGTCGACTGTCGAGGTCATGAGATTGTGAGTGACTCTAGGCAGATTAGATTCAAGTTTATGTTATTGAATAACGAGCCTGGTGTGAAAACAGTATCTTTAGAAAATGATACAACTATCTCTGGTAATATTCTGCTAAGTTTTGCAGCTGGTTGTGACGTAATGCGTGCGGATTTGTCGGTTGTGAGAGCTCGGCTTTTATTTTTGTCTGTGTCGAG